CAACTTTTAATATCAATCTTCAATGGTCTGTCCAAATTCTTGATGAAACAAGATGAATCATTTTGCTATTCTAATTTATAAAATAACTTGGATACTACGCACATTCTGATTGTCCGACTGCCGTGTTTGTATCAGAGTATGTAAACATGGTTTTGACGTCACCATTTTTTGTCAAGTGCGATTCAAAACTAGAAGTAGAATAGGAAAAAAATCAGCTATTTATACAAAAATGCATCCGAAACTTGGCAAAAACTAGTTATGAGTATTCTGCATGAAGTTTTACTATTTCTTGTAGTTTTTGAGTGCATAGAATCTTCGGTATAAACTATAGATAAACAAAGCAACTTGAAACTGGAAGTGAAAAATCAAAAACGTGATAAACTTAACTGCATCTTTATTATTGTAAATAACGTGTGAAAAGCAAGTTCCATTTTTCTATGAAGCTAAAAATTGAGGAATTTAGTGAGTATTTTGCATTTTATTGAGATACCACTTAAGAAAAGTACTACAAGAATATGTCGATTTGMGCTTGAGAATCRAGATTCAACGATTGTTCATAATGAGTCTCTTTATAAATTCGTTACATGCAAGTACACGATAAACAAGCTACTAGTTTAACCTAAAAATATGAATACCAGCTTATTCAATAAATGTAATTTATCCGAGCAAGGTCTTTATTTGTAGCTTTGGGAATATTTTCGTACGGTTTGTTGTCATTGCAGTTCTTGCATCRCTCGCATAAAATTATCTTCAGTTTGATATTGTTACCAGATACCAGGTCAATAAAAAATCTCTATGAACATGAATTCCACCTTCTTATCCATGAAACGGAGTTCATACGACCAATGCTTTTATGTGGCTTTGTGAATTTTTTCRTCGGTGATGCTGAAGTGCCGGCACGTCGAAGCGGCTAATCAAACATCATTTAAAGTGTCAAAACAAWGTCTTTYRGCAAGTATATTCCTGCAGTTTTTCAAAAATCTCATCTTGATATCATTTCTACGATGGCCGAGAAGGGCCTTCTGATTTCCGACTTCCGATTTCGGACTTTTCTGATTTCCGACTTCTGATTTCCGATTTCCGAGATCACTATGATTCCTTAAAAAAGTATTTTACTGTTTAAATAGTAAACGTTACTTTAGTTTCCTTCTTTTTCTTTTGATCATTTTTTTACTTTTATACA